ATCATACCCCTCACTATCAATGCTTCTATAATCCGAACTACAGTTTGGACTGAATAATAGCCGTCCAGGCACGTTAGACAGGCGCCCTTGCCTGTCGAAATCAAAACAAGTAATCGGGTAAATAGCGGTTCTATAATTCATCATAAGTTTAAATGTAAATCGTTACCTAAACAAATATTACCACCCGGCTATTCAACCAATTAATTGTTCAATCAGTCAAATATAAATTACAATAAATAAGGAAGTTGATAAAAGATGCGGGAAAATTACCAGTCACAACAAGTGAACGTTATTCTATCCTGACTGGATAGAACACGCACAAAAGGATGAGCAAATCAATATGACTGCGGCCAAGAACAAGTATCAAGTAAAACAACATAGATGCAGTTCGGGAAGAAACACAAAACCTTTGTGAAGGCGCAAGAAAAATAAAAACTATAATAGAAAATACAAATATTAACAATTCACATGCAATGAAAAGAAAAACAATGTACAAATAAGGGAATCAATAGAAACAAAGTGCAAGTGTATGCATGGAGGGATTTTCACACACACCAAACATTCAAAATGGATCTTACAATGCTTTCTGGTCAATAACTCCACTTTCCATCGTTTTATGACGTTGGGCTCATTAAGCTTTATTTTTAAATAAAATTTTATATCTCATACGTTTTTTCACGTTTCACATGCTGTTGGAAAATACCGTTTCTCTCGCTAGCATCTTATAAGTTTGTCAAGCGGCTACAAATTATGAACTGTGGGTTTCTAAATAAAGTATAGGCGTATTGAAGGATATAACTGGGGCCAGATGTTTACCAAAGTAGGCAAGGTATGGAAATACAGTGGTCATAATTAAGGCGATGAGTAATGAGATGAAACCTACTTACCTTCGCCTGTGACTCCTAATGTAGCATAGGCCGCCTACCAGCATTCTCCAACCCACTCTGTCCTGGGCCTTCTTTTCTAGTTCCATCCAATTCTTGTTCATTTTTCTCATGTCTATTTCCATTTCTCGGCGTAATGTGTTCTTTGGTCTTCCTCTCCTCCTTTGGCCTTGAGGATTCCATGTGAGGGCTTGTCTTGTGACACAGTTGGGTGCTTTCCTCAATGTGTGTTCTATCCACTTCCAGCGCTTCTTCCTCCGCTGGGATCTGGTTTGTTCTTTCCCACAGTTGGTTGTTGCTAATAGTGTCCGGCCAACGGATCTGAAGTATTTTGCGTAGACAACTGTTAATAAACACCTGTATCTTCTGGATGATGGCTTTCGTAGTTCTCCAGGTTTCCGCCCCATACAGTAGAACTGTCTTGACATTTGTATTGAAAATCCTGACCTTGGTGTTAGTTGACAGTTGCTTTGAGTCCCAGATATTCTTCAGTTGTAAATATGCTGTTCTTGCTTTACCGATCCGCGCTTTCACATCTGCATCAGATCCACTGTGTTCATCAACGATGCTGCCCAAATATGTAAAGTTTATTACATATTCCAAATCTTCTCCGTCAAGTGTGATTCAATTGTCGCATGATGTATTGTATCGGACAATCTTGTTTTTCCCTTTATGTATGTTGAGACCTATTGCTGCTACACTGGTCGTCCTCTACTGCGTTTGTTGTTGCGTGTGCGATAGAAGAGCCAGATCATCTGCGAAGTTTAGATCGTCCAGCTGCATCCTACCTGTCCACTGTATCCCGTGCTTCTCCCCAGATGTTGAGGTTTTCATGATCCAGTCGATCACCAGGAAAAAGAGAAAGGGTGAGAGTAAGCAACCTTGCCTGACACCGGTCTTCACTTCGAACGACTTTGTCAACTGTCCTCCATGCACGATTTTGCAGTGTAATCCATCATATGAATTCTGTATGATATTGACTATCTTCTGAGGCACGCCGTAGTATCGAAGATGCTTCCATAGTGTTGTTCTGTGCACGCTATCAAATGCCTTTTCGTAGTCAATGAAGTTGATGTAGAGTGATGAATTCCATTCAATTGATTGTTCCACAATGATCCGTAGAGTTGCGATTTGGTCTGTACACGATCTATCCTTACGGAATCCTGCCTGTTGGTCACGAAATTGGGCGTTTACGCAGTCCTTCATTATGTTTGACAATACCCTGTTGAAGACGTTTCCCGGTATTGAGAGAAGAGTGGTGCCCCTGTAGTTATCACATTTGCTGAGATCGCCTTTCTTCGGTATTCGGATCAGGAGTCCTTCTTTCCAGTCTTTTGGTACTTGTTCCTCACCCCAAATCTTATTGAAGAGAATGTGGAGTATCCTTGCAGTTACCGCTACATCTGCTCTCAGTGCCTCCGCTGGAATGTTGTCTGGTCCTGCTGCTTTGCCACTCTCGATTTGTCTGAAGGCCATGCTGATTTCTTCAATTGTTGGTGGGCCAACATTGATTGGGAGGTCCGTGGGTGCTGCTTCGATGTTGGGTGGGTCCAGTGGAGCTGGTCGATCTGTAGAACTATGGTCTAGTATGATATTAGTACTGCTCTAATAATAGGCCTAATCCTAAATTTGTAGATTCGTCATGATATAACTGCCTAATCTATAAGATCTTACGTGGAAGTCACACCATCGACTACACCAGCTTACTGTATCGTATCAATTACCAATACATGATGTAGAACAAGGTTAGGCTAGAGAAAGAACAATATATTTAATATGAATAGAAGATATAAGGTAACATTCGGCAGACCACGCCTGCATGGCCGAGCCATGCCACTCGATCAACTCCAGACCATTTTATTTAATCTTCGCGATTTCTCCATCGTTAGGTATTTATCCGCGTTAAATATTGAATATCTATTTTCTGAGTAGTCTCGTGTTCAGCTTTGTGGATTGTGCGGTTATTGTTCAATGCCACTACAGATCCAAGAGTTCTTTGAAGTGTTCTACCCACCTGTTTTGTTGCTCTTCAATGTTGGTGATTACCTCGCCTTCCTTGCTTTTCACTGGTCGTTCTGGTTTGCGGCGATTTCCAGCCAGCTTCTTTGTCGTGTCATACAGTTGTCTCATATTTCCTTCTCTTGCAGCCTTTTCCGCCGTCGTTGCCAAATCTTCCACATATTTACGTTTGCCAGTTCTGACGCTCCTCTTCACTTGCCTGTTTACTTCTGTGTATTCGACTTGTACCTTGGCTTTTTCTGCTCTTGTTCGACTGGTATTGATTGCTGCCTTCTTGTTCCTCCTTTCTTGAATCTTATCCAGTGTATCAACAGTGATCCATTCCTTGTGGTGGTGCTTCTTATGACCCAGGACCTCATGACATGTTGAAGTGATTGCCTCTTTGATCCCCTTCAGGTTGCTCTCCACAGTAGTTCCTTCTCCACTGAGTAGATCATGAAAGGCCTGGAACTTGTTGCTGAGGACTATCTTGAATTTTCTGAGTTTGTCAGTATCCCGAAGAAAAGCCGTACTAAACGTTTGCGATGTTGGCCGCCCCATTATCCGGTGCTTATTAGGTTTTAATATCATCTTGCTGGACAGCAAGTGATGATCTGATGCTACATCAGCTCCTCTCCCGGTTCTCTCATCCTCCATCGTCCTCCTGAACTTTTGTTGATGCAAATATGGTCGATTTGGTTCTGCGTGGTGTGACCTGGTGGAGTCCATGTGGTTTTGTGAATGCGCTTGTGTGGGAATATGGTACCACCTATGACCAGTTTATTGAAGGCACATAGGTTTGCAAATCTCTCACCATTTTCATTCCTTCCTCCTAGTCTATGTTGTCCCATGATGTTTTCATATCCGGTGTTGTCCATTCCAACCTCGGCATTGAAATCTCCCATCAGAATGGTCAGGTTCTTTCTTGGGCACTTCTCGATGATTGACTACAGCCTATTGTAGAATTGATCTTTAGCTTCTTCATTGTAGTCGTTGGTAGGCGCATAGCATTGGATGATGTTCATTGAAATGCCCTCTTTCTTTGTTTTGAAGGAGGCTTTGATGATCCTTGGTCCATGAGATTCTCATCCTATAAGTGCATTTTGTGCTTGTTTGGACAGCATCAATGCAGATCCTTGTGTATGTGGAGCATTTTCTTCATCATGGCCGGAGTATAACAGGAGTTCTCCTGAAGTTAGTCGTTGTTGTCCAACTAGCGTCCAATGTGTTTCACTGATCCCAAGTACCTTTAGGTTGTATCTTCTCATTTCTGCAGCAATTTGGAAGGCTCTCCCGGTGTCCCACATTGTACGAACATTCCATGTACCTAAATAAATGGTCGCTCTGGTTGTCAGAAGGGGCATTGGCCTCGTGACTTCCGAAGGAACTCGGCTTTCATCATGAGACATCATAGTTCTTCTAAATGAAGACCTTCTGACTCCCAGGGCAGAGTTTAAAAGGTTTGAATAATTTTTTCTGGTTAGCGTTTTTTAGCGAGTTAGTTTTCTATGGGATGTGGTCGCTAACCCCATGTCCAACCCTCCTCCTTTATCCGGGCTTTGGACCGGCAGTAGCCCCAGGAGGGACTCCAGGCGGAGTTAATGAGATGAAAGTATAAGTGAAAATAGACAAGAAAGAACTCGCAGCAGCTTGGTGCCGATGATATTTTGTGATATCCTAACAGGTTAATGGATTGCAGGCTCTATAGAAGCAAGGATACTTGTAGTAGGCAGGATATTTGTGGTTTCTCTTGACGACTCTTTAGCATAATAATGAGCGCCCCTTCGATATGGTTTAGACGTGCAGAGGGCTTCTTATGTCCGAGAAGGAGGTAGATGTGTTCTCGCTTGCTAGATCAGTGCAAGCGAAGTCTTGGCGCAGAAATTTTACAAAAGTATATAATCCATCCGCCATGTGCTTTTGTTTTTCTTTCGGTGGCCTCAATAGCGAGGTGGTCACGATCTACCATGTCCTAATAGTCTGCTACACACCTTAGGGGGATGGGACCAGCATTTAATTTGTTGCCGCTATCGTCAAAATCAACATATTTTGAGGACTTGTCACTACAAATCCTTACTGATATATTTCTGACTGCCCCACATTGTTCGAGGTTTTCCGATGTTGTAAGATATGATTGACAACCCTTGTTCATCCATCTCTGGCAAGAAGTTCTATCATAAAGAATGGTTAAACTTGCTGGACAGATATTATTTTCAATTGTCTCTTGAATGTTGACGAACTTATTGCTGTCAACAAAAGCTGTATACTGATAGGCAATTGGACAACATGACCGTGTAACTTTCTTACGAAGGCGTATGTACTCACACTGTATTATGCGCCTCTAATCTATGCTCATGAAGTTTTGTTTGCAATACGTTACGCTGAGCTTTTGAAATAACATTAATCACTTCATTACCTTTTAGGCAATATGGTATGTTTTTCATCTAACTCTTTTCATACGAATTATATGAAGGTTACAATGATCGCCTAATAAATGTGTCAGTGTGGTCGGTGAGATAACTGGGAAAATGCATATCCAACAATTTACACGAAGAGAAAGTCAACTATAGAGAAGACAGAAAGAATTAATTGGATTGAATTTGATGGCATGGCTCAGTCTTGCAGGTGTGATCATTCTTGTGTGAATTATCTCTTTTATTCATATTGAATATTATTGTTCTATCTCCAGCCGAGATGTGTCCACAAGAAGCAGATAACATCATATTGACGATTCTTACGATAGGACAACTCAGTGTAAACAGTGATGTGACTTCCACGTAGGATCTTATAGACTAGGTATTCATGTGGAATTATGGTCTACTTCGTTTTTAATGTTGCTCTAATATTAGACCTGATCCTAAAATTGCAGATTTTTCATGACATGCAATGACTAGAGCTAACTAAAAACTCTGGCATTTTCAAACAACTCCATTTTACTTCTTTATAAAACCCAAAGAAGTACAACTAGATCGTGTAGTATGTACACATTTTTGATGCCGCGAATGAGCAAAACTCTATAAAATGGTACGTTAGAAAAACTAGAAGGTTAAAGAGTTTCTCCAAGTGCTACCTCAGTGATCAACTTTATGTCCAAGTACGTGGTCGATCAATTGAAAGAAATAATATGCGAAACCCAAGGAGAGATGCGTAAATGCCGAAGTGCTTTCTCAAGATATTAGGACTGAATGTAATAATTATGAAGCAGTGTATGAAACAGACTTCCAGGACATCAAGAAATTTACCTTATTACTTGGTTATCCCAATCCAATTCGTACTCAAGGTCATGCGGATAACAAATCATTCAGCAATTGCAGAGCAGGTCACAATAATAATAATAATAATAATAATAATAATAATAATTTATTCTCAAATAACAGTTTGTTACATGAGGCATGCCAGTTTACAGGCAAGATCAAATTGATACAAATGATACAATATACACTGCATTAAATTACATAGCTGGGTTGAAAATTTATAAGACATGAATGTAGATTGTTTTAATCAGTACTACAGTTGGCGCGCTTTACGAGAGTTGCGTTGCGAATGTGCGACTGATGGTCAAGAATAGGTCCATTGAAGGTATGAGCTTCTAGAAATCGCAACCTTATGTCCCTTTGGGATATCCAAGGCTTTAAGGATGGTGCAGGATGAAGTAACCTGTTCCATATCTCAAGGGGGCTGAAAGAGGGAGCAAGTGAAAGAAAGCACGAGAGGCAGAGTAGCCAATATTCATGTAGGAATGTTTAAGGCATGATTACTCAGTCTAATTTTCTTTTATTAAGGTATTTGTTAAGAAAGAGCACTTTAATAGATTAAAGAAAATAAGCTTTAGCGAGGTGTGAGTGGACATACAACTGACAAATGGGGGCTATTCGGAAAAGAGCTGAGAGTATAAGATTATGTGTGATTATAAAATAAAATATAGTGCTAGAAACGGTATTGTGATATACAACTGGCTATCTTCCTTTTATTATCGAAGCTATTAGAGCCCCTTTCGTTTTTTTATTTGTTTTTTTTTCAGGTTTTATAGGGTCTTGAGTGGGCTTCGTATATTAGCGAATTGTCTAGTTTGCTTGTAATAGGATTACTGGGTAGGAAGTGAAACCAATTCAACGTTCGTAACACGATTTAAAGAGGTATTTTGCGTGATAAATCAGCTTCAAAACCATAAGTCCGTGACATCCCACTAAACCATAAGGAGCCGTAATTAAACAAAATGTTCTGCCCTACAGACATGGGTGGATTGAAGTTATCTCCCCACCTTCATGTTTGCTGGTCAGTAACACCACCCTCCCTCCTTTTGTGATGTTAGGCGCAAGTTCGGCAAATGTTTGTCCTGTGGTTAATTTCACCCACGTAATTCATGTGCATTTTCTCATGCTAAATGCTTTAGATGTGACAAAGTTGGGCACACCCAGTCACTGTGTAAAACCACTGTTTATTTCGCAGCAAATAATATCAAACTTTGTTATCCACACCCTATTAATTTGGGTGATTCTAATATCCTTACCTAGAACTTTCAATAATTCACGTTATTGAATAAGGAAAAGAGAATTCAGCGAATAAAATTTTCTTTTCGACGAAATTATTTACTTAAGCTGTACATTCGTATATACAGTTATAGGGAAAATGTATGTCTATAGGAGGATAGAAAAAATTGCATCACCAAAATGGATTCGTGGATAAACAACAAATGAGGTTAGGTGCCAATCAAAGGGTGTTGGTTTCATCAACCGGAAGCCTATTGCTGGTGCTGTGTATGACAGTCGCATGTTGGAAAGGGAGTTTCTCGCTCTACACATCTCGCATATGCTCATATCCTGATTCTAGGTGACTAGAATATTTCTAAAGTCGGCTTCACTGATCATATATCCACTGCAGGAGATAACTCGGTCGTCAAAACTCATTGAGGACCTGGAATTATTCAAAACTGTGGGGCTAGCAAGTCGCTGGAGAAACAGTCGAACACCGCCACACCTAGACTGCCTATTTACAAACGAAGATTTCATAATTGACAACCTCTTAGTCTTGGCTTTCCTGGATAAAAGTGATCACACCATCATAACTATCAATCTTATCAAGTAAACTGAGCTAGGACATCCTACCAGCAACAGGCGCTGGAATTTCAAACGGCCAAATTTTTCAGCTTAACAGGCCAATCTACAGAAAGTGGACTGTAAATTTCATCCAAACTTGATGTGGACGCTCGTTGGGATTTCTTACTGCACATGACCTTATATGCTACAAAGCAGTCTGTTCTACCAACTGTCCTCGAAAACAAAAAACGACCTAGTCATCAACAATTCTAGTTTTCGTTTGCTAAGCCACATAAGGCACTACCGGGAGGAATACAAACGAACTGGTAACAACAGCGCATTCAGGCAATTCAAACAAACAAGAAACCGATGCATGAAGACCATAAGAGAGAGGTGAACCTGAGCGCTGACTTGGTGTGTCAGAAACTACATTATATAGACAAGGACACTTTTCCTGGCTCGAATATGGTTCATTCTGCTATACTGAGTGAAGGAGCTTCAGTCTTGACAAAACCTCTATGCGTGATGTTCACACATTCGCTAAGAAAAGGAATGGTACCAGAAAATTGCCAGTCGCCTCACATTATACCTATTATCAAAGGAGGCCAAAGCAGTGAATCTTTGAATAATGGATTCCCTGGTATAAGATGATCCACGTGAGTACTTACCATCCATAAGCTTCTTTTTACTGCAAAAACATGGTTTCAGAAAAAGTCACTTTTGTATAGCCAACCTGCTAACGGCGGTGGACAACCATCGTTGGCCGCAAGGTGAATGTTAATGTCATATACCGTGACTTCTTAAAAGCTTTCGATAGGGTCAACCATATATGTTTCATCAGTAAGCTCAGGTGTCAGATCAATTGATTGGCTCACTTCATACCCAAACAATCGACTTTTGAGGGTGTGTCAATTTCGCTGTTTCTCAGATCATGAAATGTCTTAGTGGGGTCCTCTGGGGGTCAGTACTCGAACTTTTTTTATAATTTATGTATGTGACATTCCCTAGCAAGTATCGTCCAACTAATCGCATTTCGCTTGTGATGTGAAACTTCAGGGAGAATTTCGCACCTGAGATACTAAGCTGGCACTTCAGGGGGATCTGACCCTACTTCAAAGTTGGGCGGATAACAATGGACTTACCTTCAGTACTTCACAGTGCAATGCATTCCATCTATAACATGTTGGAGACTATTCATACAGCGTAGATAACTATCCTCTAGAGTCATACCAAGTTTAAAAAGATTAAGGAGTGTTGGTACCCTACGATCTAAAGTCTTACGCTAACTGTGACAAAAATACATTTAGAAAAAACCTTGAACTAGTAACATTGAAGCTCATTTTTAGCCAGTTCGACAGCAGAACATCCCGCTTGATCATCACCAGTTTAATTCGACTTTATTTAGAGTAGGAAAATATAGTATTCCAAAAGAATGAGAATAAATTGGAATGTATCTAAAGGTGATCCACGAAATCAGTTCGGATACTCAAATTCAAGCCTTATGAAGAGCTCCTCAAATCACTGAACCTTTTCCCGTTTGAGTATGGGTGTCACAGAGGTGGACTTCAAATAACTCACAGCACCTTAAACACTTCTTGGTATCCCCTTAAGAAACTAAACAAGCTCAGTTCCAACACAAACTATAGGGATAACACGCAGAAATCGGAGACATGGCGGGAAGGACTATAGGCATATCTTTTACTACATACGAGTAGTAAAAGTCTAGAATTCGCTGATGAGTTGGGTGGCTAAGCGGCTTCTCAGAAGTCCTTTGAAGGGAAACGTATGATATTTTGAGGGACTAAGGGAAGTATTTCACCATGATTTATCAACCCTCTATTCTCTTATATCTTCAATCACACCTATATTCCGAAACACAGGCACCAGTGATCCACTGATACTAGATACAGAAGCTCGTTAAGCGATAGCTTCTTCTAGTCCTTCCATAACCATTTGAACCATTTGGTTTTTTAGTGCTCTATTCGTATGCCTTAGCTTCAGTACCAAACAAAGCTTATGGACAAATTCGCCTCTAACGCTAGAAGCCTATTCCGTTATGCAGCCTCTCTTCGTCAAGCCAAAACAGGAGTTTCTCAACTGCTAGGTCTTAACGGCCCGACCAACAACGATGGCGACGCCGCTAACCTTCTGGCGGCCCATTACTCTCAAACATTTCAACCGGCTGATATCAACTTTATTGACGACAGTTTCATCTGCAATTCCACAGGACTTTCTGAAATGGACCTAAGCGCTGACTTGGTGTTCCGGAAATTGCAGCACTTAAGACTTGACACTTCTCCTGGCCCGGATATGGTTCATCCTGCCATACTGAGGGAGGCAGCCTCAATCCTGGCAACGCCGCTTAGCGTGATGTTTTCACACTCGCTTAGCCGAGGCAAACTACCGGAAAATTGGAAGTTGGCTCACATCACACCAATTTTCAAAGGTGGTCGACGCAATGAACCTTCAAGTTATCGACCGGTGGCTCTTCTGTCATTACCTTCAAAAATCATGGAGTCCCTGATATGCGACGGTTTAAATGACTATCTACTGTCCTTAAATTTCTTCTCACCCCAACAGCATGGTTTCAGGAAGGGTTACTCTTGTACAACCAACCTGCTGACTGCGGTGGATAGATGGACAAGCATCCTCGATTGCAAGGGAAAGGTTGATGTCATTTACTTTGACTTCTCAAAAGCTTTTGATAAGGTTAACCACTTGTGTCTTATCAACAAGCTCAAACGACTGGGTATCAAACCACCTCAAGTCGATTAGCTTACTTCATACCTAAAAAATCGACACTTCAAGGTTAGGGTTAATTTCACTTTATCTCAGGCTATGGAATGTCCTAGTGGGGTCCCCCAGGGCTCAGTACTAGGGCCTCTTCTCTTCTTGATCTACACAAATGATCTTCCTCAACAGGTAACGTCAGACTTATTACTTTTTGCCGACGACGTGAAACTTTGGAGAGAGATACGCAACCAAGACGATACACAGGCACTTCAGGAGGATCTGACGCGACTTCAAAGTTGGGCAGACGATAACGGACTTACCTTTAACACTTCAAAGTGTAAAGTAGTCCATCTGCGACATGTCGCAAACTACAGTTACAACTTAGGAAACTCCTCTCTAGTAGTATCCTAAGTCGAAAAGGATTTAGGAGTCCTGGTGCCCCATGACTTAAAGTCTTACGCTAACTGTGACAAAAATGCCTTCCGAGCAAACCTTGCACTGGTAACGTTGAGGCGCATTTTTGGCCAGTTTGACGGAAGAACTTTCCATATAATCTTCAATAATTTCATCCGTCCCCATTTAGAGTACGGAAACATAGTACTCCCCCCCCTCACTCCAAAAGGACAAGGTCACTTTGGAGCGTATCCAATGGCGAGCCACGAAATCAGTTCGAGGACTCAAATCTAAGCCTTACGAAGAACGCCGCCGTTCACTAGACCTTTACCCATTAGAATATAGGCGTCTTAGAGGTGATTTATTAATTTCTTATAGTATTCTTAACACTTCTGGACATCCTCTTAAACACCTACTTAAGCTTAGTTCGAATAATAACCTAAGGGGTAACACCCAGAAACTAGAAACACAACATAGCAAGACGGAATGTAGACACAACTTCTACTCCTTAAGAGTTGTCAAAAGCTGGAATTCGCTGCCGGCCGAGCTAGTCCAAGCGACTTCTCAGGAGTCCTTCAAGAGGCAACTTGACCTATTCTTAAGAACCAAGGACAGCATCACACTATGATTTACCAATTTCTTTTCCTCTTTTATTGCTAACATACCTAGGTTCCTGCCTGGAGGATTTGGTGATCCCCTGCTACTAGACACGGAAGCCTGTTCAGCGAAAGCTTCTTCTATTCCGTCCACAACCATTTGAACCATTTGAACCATTTGAGCCCGCGGTGTGTGATAATTGCGTTACGAAGGCCTGAAGCCTTTGGTGTAAGTGATGTATTTTTGCTGTGAAAATTGCATGAAGGGTGTCGATGAGCGTTTTAAAAATGGTAAAGTATGTGGTTAATATTTTTTAGTATAAATATTCATCTGACGTTTTTCTCTCATTTGATTTGTTACATCAGTTATAGTGGTACTTCGAAGTACCACTAGACGACCGTTTAGTTTTAATAATTATTTTTGACAGTGTAACAGCGTATCTTCTCATCCTGGATATTCTCGAAGCATTTAGTTGGTTTTTCAAAAACTCGAAGAAGTCCGTTATTACTTTTACCTAGGACTGATCATTTGGTAGGACATTCTCTTAAGGTCAAAAACCGAAATCAGATAGTTTATTTCTGGAGTTTCGTTTCGAGTTACGACTAGCCGAAATCCTCCAAAAATTACATGTATGGTGCTCTATATCGTATGAATTCCCCAACCTACGTGTTTAGACTAATTATACTGCATCTCGTTAGGTGGAGTAACCTTAGTACTACTATTACAACATAACACAATCCACCTTGAATTCCTACTATCCACAGAATAGCTTCTAACACTGAATTGTTGGAAGACTTTAGTCGTTTTGAGGACCACAGTATTTGTTGTTAATTGTTATCTGACACTGACCCTCGCTTTTAACGTATAACTGCAGTTGACTTAGTGAGACTGTGACGGAAATGCCTTTGTAAGTATTAAGTTTTCCTTAAACTTCGTACATCTTCTGCTACGCTAGTCTAGTCGGTTTGTAGATTTTCAAGGCGAATGTTTAGTGTTAAAAAACCAGTCTTATGCTCTAGCTCGTTGAATAATCTCTAGAATTTTGTGCTGAAAATAGCTCCCAAAGCTATCAAAAGTACAATTAAGACACACACCGATCTCCAGTTTTCAGGATACAATATCAATAATCCTCGAAAAGTAGTTCTTTGCTAAACTGACGAGGATGGTATCTTACTAAACACAACTATTTTGTGACACCAATTAATTACATGGGTTGTCACCTAGTCTTTTTTATGGTTGGATTACCAGACTGTCGATGGACTTAATTATTTGTTGGATTCAGTTTTGTGAGTGATCACTCCGTAAGATGGCGTCATTTCGGATTTACAGTCGATCAACATCCTGCCAGTTGTTTTAACCATTGATTTTTGGTTAGATTAGTCGAAATCATGTTCACACTACGAATTTCTACCTTAAAATAATGTTCTTCGTTCACAGTTTTATAGATTGTCTCAGGTATGGATAAAATAAATGTTCACATATTTGTTCTCACGGTTATAAACAAAGAGTGAAGTTGTATCATTAGATTTACCATGGATAACACCGTAATTGCTCGTATAAAGCGTCAGTCAACTACGACGTAGGACCAGGCACACATATGCATCGGTCCAAGTTTGTAACAGGTGTCACAATAAATATCTACCATTGCAAGAAAGTTCTGGTTTTACGGATGATATGTGGTTACTGTAAAGTAACAAACAGACAGCATAAATTTCAGTTAATCAAAGCTTTGTTGTGCAAAGTCCATATTTCGAGCTAATTAAGCCTTAGGTATCTTTTACTAGGTTGCTTGGGATCTACGTTACCCTAATATTTTTGATGAAATATTGAATGATCGAATTTGTGTATATGAGGTAGTGGGACGAGTACTTTTTGGGTGTGGTTGACTTGATTAGTTCTCATACAACTAAAATCTTAGTGACGAGTATCAATGTGAGTTGGTTGTGTGGCTGTATTTTATGAATAAGATGAAATCACTACCCGCCGACCCCAGTCGTACAAGTTGGTGAAGACTTTAAGTTAGGTCTTGTTGTGATGGAAATATAGTGGTTGAACAGCCTGTTTGGCATGCTTGTATTGTTTGTTTGAATCTTCACATTGATGTTTAGGACTACAATTGATCAGTTTCTTACTGGCATATGTGCATCGTGCGCGGATAACCTCGATATTGCCTTGAGCCACAAGCATTATAAACGAAGTTATATGGTGGCTAGTAGTGGAATTTGAGTTGCACTTTTCGTCCTATTTGGAACTCGTCAGTTGCATGTACTTGGTGGTTATCGGGACTCAGTAGCTAAGTGAATAACGCGTTGGCGTTTGAAGCGGACGGTGCTGGGTCCGAGCCCCTAGGCGAGTATCAACTCTGGGATGCAGTTAATTTTGTCGTTTTTATTTCTAGATTCAGAATAGCCGTTTTATGTCCGGCCTTCATTTGCTTTGGTTTACTTATAGGTATGGAAAGACTTGATTCTCTACTTTGTCGATTAGAAAAAGTAACTATTCTTCTTGAAGCAGCTGTCGTTAACAATATGTATCGGACATCACCAATTAAAATATCTTCGGGTAAATAAGGTTTTCATAATTATTCCTTTATCTCAAGAAAGTGGAAATCCTTCATCAATCAAGGAATTTCATGAAATAGTCACTGGCCCTTTATCGGAATACGTACGTAATAGTTTCGAAATTGGAGACATTGTTGGAAATCACGTAGGTTTGATTCTGTATTAAATCACTTCCACGGGATTATTTTTAAAAAGGCCTCTATGGTTAAACAATGTTTTTTGATGCAAGAAGGAATAATCAAATTGGCAGCTGAATGCTCAAAACCTTCTGACTCTGAACTTAAGCTTATTATAACACCATTAGGAAACCTAATAGAAGAAGTTATCGTAATTTGTTAGTACTTTGTTAAATTGTTTTCCTTTATAGAAATTTAAGGATAATAATCGAAGCAGTAACTTTTTTAACCATCTTTCAGCTGTGGCTGAGTCTGTTACAGCTCTAGGCTGGCTAAGTGATGTAAGTTTTGTTTTTAAGCCTTTAAACTATTCAGACTGTTGCACCATCGACGTACGTTAAAACCATGCAAGAAGCCGGTGAATTCTTTACGAATCGTGTTCTTATGGAATACAAAAACAAGTTAGTTATTTATTAAGCAGTTTATAAATAAACTCACTATTTGTTATATTGCGAAGAGGATTATCTTTAGAGTTTACTGCTATATATGTTTATAAATATATGTATACATACCTAATTAATTTGCGTTCTGATGGTTTCGATAGACTATATTCCTGGGAAGATTTCTAACACCAACTGATAAGGAACGGGTTGGTTGCCAATCGAACTAATGAAGACCAACGGTGTGTTGTAATGTTTAATGAAAAGCAGTATGTTGCTCAGCCGTAGCGTTACTGATAACCATAGAACACACACTGATCAATTTAAAGATTCCGAATGTCATATATATTTTGCCACGAACGTTTTCATGTAATCTTTCCACTAATATCACAGTTATTTTTGAAGCTTATTGGAGAGAGTTCTGGCCCCAGCAATTAAATTGCACCGTGTAATCGATTCATAATAAAGTTAATCTGTTCCTTGTACAATGCTATAATTAACACGGTTAGATATGATGAACATGTGTGGCTTTTATTATGACATACTGTTGTAACGGCTGGATTGCACGGTTAGATGCGCAGCGTATTTATCGATCGAATCAGTGACACGTAAAACACGTAAGGACGACCTAGAGTCCCGATTGGTCCCGCTTCCCTGTCTAGCCCAGCCAGTTGAGTCTAGAACGCAAGTCACAGCTTCTGAGTTATGAATCGTTATATTTCAAACATACTCTGTTTATATACCAACCAAACAGACCACATCATACCATAAAAATAGAAAACAACATCTGTACAATATTTAACGAGTGAAATAAATAATGGCTAATAGGGAATGCCCATTTAGAGTCCAAGGACATCATTAGACTTAACATGATAATGATTGGTATATTCCTCAGCATCCCTAACACATACATTGTTGTTTCTCACGGATAATAGTCACATTTAGATGGATCTACTTCGTTAAATCATATCTGGTTTTTCTACAAAACCGAGGGGATAGCTTGTTGGATTTTTTCTTATTGTTTACGTCCAAATTTCAGTGAGTTTATTGATCCTTGTGGTATTTACACAATTCCTAAATTTTATTAAACTCGTAGCTAATAAAAATCCAGTGACTCAACCAGCTTTTACATACGTCAATCTGGTTTCAATGTGTCGGATTTATTTTACATACGCCATCTAAGGTGTCTTGCATATTTAGCATAGGTGTTGATGACAAGGCTGGCTTAGATCAGCGGAACTATAGTCAGTCTGTTAGCGAAATTCAAGATTTTACAAGTAAAAGTGATTAAATATTTTGACAATATATATTGAGTATGGTTGTGTTGGATTTTTTTATACAGAGCCCAAAGTTGTGACGCATTACTCTTATTATCTTTGGGCTATAATTCCTTCTGTGAAGAGAACTTTAAGACCTGAAGTTTCATTTCTCATTTTCTTCAACAATCACTTGAAGCAATTTAGCACGTTACAGTTACTACTACGCTATAAAACTGTTCAAATCCGTGAGAAATCAATTAAAAGACATTTTACGATAAGATCAAAGTGCGGTAATCACGTATTATTAAAAATCAGATGTCCATAAGAGCTCATACTAATCTCCCTGAAAATCAAATGTATTGTTGAACAAATTCAACAGGTTTCAGAATTTATTTGAGACAATCCATGGTTATATGGTTTGTTTTTAAAGATATTGATATTGAAGATTTCTTATTTAATTTATCAACCTCTTTCATTTGTTCATGAAAAATGACCGTAAATATTTTCTGTTATTTACTGTAGCGACACAATTCATCGTGCTTGGAAAAAATCTTTAATGTCTGTTTGGACTGCATTACAAGTTTATGTTAACAAGCATCATACCACTGGTTTGGTTTGGAATGCTCGTGGTAAACCAGCTGTGGCATCGAAGCTGTCTAAGTCTTCGCCTACTCGTGAAGTTAATTCCAATTGTTCTGCACAATCACCCCCTGTACTTACAGCTTCTCATTTAGCTGCAATGTCATTGGTGTGTGTGTGTGAATATGATGATCTTTTTGTTCCATGGAAATGTGTTCATTATAAATTAGTTTGATACATATTTTGTCCAGTAGATTTTAGAATCTTTGGATTTTAAACATTCATGATTCTCATCAATGATTCGGTCGTCCATTCATTTAAACCATTAGACTTGGCCACATTACTCGTTCTGTTTCTCTTATGATATGCTAATATAGTTGTCAGCCAATTGTAACTATCCATTTATTTTGTCACTACCTTTTGCAATTTCATATCGCGTATTGGATCGAAGTGTTGCGTATTTATGTGTATCAATTATCTATTCATAAAATGTTGCATTCATTTCATTTTGAAATCATCGTAATTGAAAGGATATACCTATCAAATACTTTCCAGCAGTTATTCTGACTTATAAGATTTAATTATATCTTTATTGCTGTAGTTCGCGTTCTAGCACCAAAGATTTATGAAGTTAATATCACCATCATTATCACCTAAGTACATTAATATAAGTCTAGTGGGAATGTTACTTGTTTTGGATAGGTTCAGTCAAATTGGGTTACATAGCTTGTTACAGACCATATTTTAGAGGATGATGCTCTATAGTCTTCTTAACATTTGTTGGTTGATGTTAGACACTAACACCATTGGATTCCGGCTCAGTGGTCCAGTAGGTTAAGCGTTCGCGCGCGAAACTGGAGGCCCTGGGTTCGAATCTCGCAAGCGGGATCGTGGATGTGCACTGCTGAGGAGTCCCACAATAGGACGGAACGGCCATCCAGTGCTTCCAGGTTTCCAACGGTGGTCTAACATCAGTCGGTTCATGATCTCAATCAAAAACAATCTTAATACCTTAATTGTTGCTTTACTGTGTTTCATATATCCTGCTAAGTGTATTTAAAGTAGGTAATGAAATAAAATTACTTATAGTTAACTGGTCAAATGACAAGTGCACGTGATTGATTGTCCGTAAAACGACTTTCATTTCTCAAGAATGATAAGATATACGATATTCGATACTGATACCCAGTCTTCAGATACACAACCTAAACGAGTGAGAAGAAAGCTTCATATATATATATATATATATATATATATATATATATATATATATATATATATATATATATATATATATATATATATATATATATATATATGAGAGTACATACATGTCAATTTAGCCAGCAAATAGATGCTTTCTTCTCACTCGTTTAGCTCGTGTATCTGCAGCCTGAGTTTCAGTATCGAACATCTCACATCCTGCTAATAACTACATAAACATCCTATAGGACAACATAGCATTGAGTGTATACTTTTGATTACTTCTTTTATAATTAACGCATATTTGTTAAAAGAATGAACTTCATTGGTTATGTTCCAAAATATAGTGATCATTTACTTGTAAACAAAGCTTCTAAATACAATCAGGTCTGCCTTCCAGATTATACAGTTTATCAGGTCTAGAGACACGTTAGTATTCAGTGAGCCATTGTTCCTTTTACGATCACTGGCTCAAAACTTAATTAAATTGTGTGTTTGTCTCTTATTCAAATATGTGGTTGACTTCATGCTTATAGACTAGACTATATATGTTTATGTTTATGCATATTTCAAGTAGTCTTACGATAAATTTTCTAAGATATCGTTTATTTCGTGTATAAATCTATCAAGACGATTGGATTTGGTAATTATTGATGTGCTTTATGTCGTTAGTTAATAATTTTTTCCATACTCATAAATTTATAACTCAGGATAGGTTATCATTAATATTTCCCTGTTTAATTATTAATTAGCAAGCAAACGATAACACAACACAGTCTAATTTATTTGCTGATCTGAATCGTGGAACAGCGGTGACATCTAATCTGCGCAAAGTGACTGACGATATGAAAACACATAAAAATCCCAAACTTCGTGAAGGACCTATTATCCATACATCACGAAATCAAGTGAATTCATCATCGAATAATCCCACTGTCCGACCACCATCTGAGAAAGAGCCGTCGGGGGCTGGATGTTTGGAACTAAGGGGTAACAGATGGATTGTAGTACGTTTTATTTGTTAAAAATTTTATGTTATCTTTTTGATGTTCTGTACTTAAATCCTTTTCAGTGTGATTAATCTCATTATCAAAATGTAGTGTTGTAAAATTCTCTAACCGTTGAAACCTCATTATATGGAATAATATACTAACTCTTAGTACCTAGTAGTAAGAGCTCGAAGAGCTTACACACCAACTAGAGTCAAAATATTTGACTTAGTATGCAAACGAGGTTTACATTTGTCAAAATTAGACATTAATCATGAGTGATCAGTCAGTTATTTACATATTTGGACGTAGCACATATAACCTTTTGTTGTCTGATATTATTAGGGTTCATGAGAAATAATAATAATAATAATCTGAATTGTTTCATCTATACTAGTATTGTTGTCCTCATTTTTAAGATACAAATATTCTAAGGAAATCAATATTTAAAGTGTTTATTTGTGAAAAAAAACAAGTAGAGACGTATATAATACACTTGTTATTATTTGTATTCAAGAAACGATAATTTCTCACAGGAAAAATGAAAAGATATGAACACTTATGCCGTTATTACAGGAGATTCGATCAAGTATAGACGTGTTTTTGCATTGTAATTTGTTAACTAAAAATTAGCAGAACACTAATTTAAATATCACCTCATCTATTAATGTTTAGTGTAATAATAGTAATCCTCACATAATAAATATTCATCTGTATAAGATTGTGGAGATTGTTGAGTTTCATGTTAGTCCACCATTGAAAACTTATAAGTATTGAATGGTCGTTTCGTCGTATTGTGTGACTCCTCAGCAGTGCATATCCACAACTCCGCACCCGTGAATCAAACCCAGCACCCTCTGTCTCGCGCATGAACGCTTAACCTCTAGACCACTGAGCCAACACTCAATGGGGTTAACGTCTAGCTCCAATCAATCCACAATATTGTGTGTCCATCTTCCGTGACTAGTGGAGTTCAATCGAGTCGGATGTGAGGGTGTTACCAACCAAAAACAATGGACATCTTATTCACTACGATACTTAAACATCCTGGATTCCATCCTATATTCCTCCTAAATGCCTACTGTTAAGGATTCCCAAACTAAGACTAGCTGTCCGGTGTTTTGTGATTCCGAATGACTCTCCGACGAATGTCTAGTTCGTAAACAAATTTAACTATCAAAAAGACAATTTCATTGTTGATCTGAATACTTTAGCCTATCTGCTGATAATTTTTTTTAAAAATGTGACTTGGTTAATTTTATTTCATACACCACAAATTAATTTTCACTAATTACAAGTGTCCATTGGACTGTTGAAAATCTACCCCTTGATTGATTTTAATTATTGATTTCTTCAAAATAGAATTTTTCACTTATACCACTTTGAAACTGAATGGCTGTTCGTGTATTTATCTATACTTGTACACGTTTAGTGTATGTAATTGCATGGATAAAATCACTTTGCACCTTTTATTCACTGTCCAACTTTGTAGAAATAGTTGTCTATCTATTTTTGGTTATTTTCTGACAGTCTCCATTATTATTTTCTGTTGGAATATAAGAAAGCATTAGTATTTAAAACATTCATACTAATGACTATTATTTGTGATCATTTTTAGCCTGATGATATTATTTCATGTAGTTCAATTCGAATTTGTTTTTCAATTCAATGTTTATACTCGTTAGATGGTGTTTACGGTATATGAAGATAATTCATGCATATAGCCATCCAAATGTTTCTTCACTATTTGACATTTTGTCGATTTTGTAGGTTTGTATTTCTTAAGGATATATATATATTTCGTATCTTTCTTTTTTACAATAACACTTATGTTTCGTCCGCTGTATCTTATTTTATACTTTTTAAACTCAGTTTCGCACTTCCACCTGTCACGTATGGGAACCATAAATTTTTACTTCTATGAAGTGATAGTACCTTAATAGCTTTTCGAAGTGGACAGTGTACTGTTTGATATGGTTTCACCGATGGCTTACCTACTTTTTGATGTGAAATACGGTATATGTAACATTCTCACTCAGAGTTTGTTGGCGTAGAAACAGTTTGGAAAGAAAGCAAGTAACCCCCTAAACCAAGACATTTCATAAGTCCAATAAGTCACTGAGTGTTGGTACATAAGAAACATGTTGGTAAATGAATACTACTTGGTTGGAGTCTACACAATTATCACAACCAAATGTTGGATGATGTAGATCAGGTTTGGTCATTATAGGCCAACTGCATTCACTTCTTGTATTCCCTTAAACCTTAAGTTTCAAAATTATTTTTTATTATTCATCCCTCAAATTCACTCATTCTCAAATTATAACTTGTCTGCCTAATTTTTTTACTATAACTGATACTACTTTTGTATTCATTGCGATAATTTAATTTCGCTGTTCTGACGTGTTGTCGGGACTTAGGCTAATCCACATTTCTGTCAGGTTCTATATTGCCTATCACTGACTGTTAGGGAACAGCAAAGAATATATATACGTGTCTGTTTTAAAATATCTCCCTCATGTCACAATAACTAAAGTAACCCTGTATGTAACTAAAGACGATTCACAGGTTTTTTAGATTCACTATTTAACAAATTTGTAGTAGACAACTGGCAATTGTGTAGATCATTCTTAAGGATACACTTCTTAAAGTATCAAGTTTTCATAAAGATCCATTTCAGTACCGTTGTCGAGAAATAGGATTATCTAAAATCTAAATTCTTTTTTACTAAGTGCGGTACTCTTATAATTAATAGGTCGAAAGTTTGCGAAGCGACCTTCATTCTTAATTGAATAGTCATTAACATTTGATTGTAACTAGGCTATTTTTTCTTAAGGACTTAACAATTCACTCATACAATCATATGGCTTTATTTAGAACCATCAAGGGTGTATCAGTATAGATTACTTTCCAACCTTAATTGAATCAGCACACAGCGATTAGCCTTAGTATTTAACCTGTTAAAGAAGTATTGAGTTGCTGTTTCATACACTACACTCCCTACTTCTAACCACAAGATTGCATATTGAAACACTTCTACGTACTTTTCTGTTAATAGTTGGAAAGTATTCTTGGGTCTCACAAATTCGTTTTTATACAAATCTAAGTAAACTTGCAGTGTATGAGATATATAAATGTTGATATATACTTTTATACAACTTTAGTGATAGTATGTAGAGATAGTAATCAATTAAATATTGCATAACAAACTGTAAACTAATAACAAATAATGATACTCTATTTTTAAATAAAAGTACGTTGAATGGTTTTTAAATACGTAACTTGAGCAAGACTATATGTTTATTACTTAATATTGAAGTCAGTTTACGTCACGGGTTGATATTAAGGAGATCTGAATAACTGTTTTGTTCTAGATTGAGATTTATCATCAGTAGTGTGCACAGAAGTCCCAAAATAAGATCAAAGTCAGGACAGCCAAATTGTCGTATCGTACATAATATCTATAGAATAGGGAGTTAGAATCCATTGATGATCCATAATTAGTCAGTTTGCTATAACGCGCAACCATCATACAACACCATTGGTGATATCTGTTTCTCTATCTATATAGTTAAACTGCATTCGACTCACTGGTACAACGTCTCAAACCATAGATTAATCGTTCAGCACTTCATGATTTTCAGGGACTCTCTAGTTCATATTAAACTATGACGTAAGGTAGCTTTGAAACTAAGCAATCTTTACAAATTGCCTATCTGTTTAAGAATAATTGGTTCATTGAACCCACTTTGTAACTACGACTTTTTTTATACTTATTATTAGGAAGTGATACTAATAAGTTTTATACTTTTTGTGGTTATCATTTTATTTTCTAGGAAAATTTCCAGTCTGCCGGAAATTTACAAATTGTTAGTACCGAAACAAAACAAACAGTTTGTATTCATAAATGTAATGAATGTACAGTTCAAATTAAGGGGAAAATTAATTCAATCATGATGGGTGAGTGATATTATTATCGATGATAAATCAGTATGTTGTGTATATGAATGATTGTGTGTGTATATATGAATGTACCAAGCATGCAACTAATTTGGCATAAATCTTTTAACTTGTTTTATTCTACACTACAAAAATAGAAAATGAATTTTACTAGATAAAGGCCAGTGTAAATTTCAGATTTGCTTATATATGTATATATTGTGAAATGAATTCAATATTGAAAAGCCTCTGTTTGCTAACTGAATTATTGTAGGAATGTAATATCTATTTTCTACCAGTGTTTTTGCCAAAACCTTAACGTCTTCTCATCACGTATCTATTTTTTTGTCTACATTCTTTTGTTGACTTCCTTCTACATTGTTACAAATGACTTGTGATTTAAATATCTTTCTGTTATGCGAAGTTGTGCATCATGCCAGTTGATCAGTAGTTATATCACACCATATTATTCATGCTTCATTATACAATAGTTATAGTTATTATCCATTAATACGATGTTTGCAAAAATAAGCTTCAAGTCTGGTATACCTTTTCTGATTTGAATGTGACCAACTTGGTCTCGTGTGCTGTTACGGGTATGAGGGCTGATGTGGCAACTGGAACTGATGTACGTACGTACGAAGTTCTACATTGTTACTGACTGACTGACTGATACCTTTTCTGATAGTTTGTCTATTTATAAGATCTGTGATGACAAAATTACTGACTTGCCTCAGTGTCTGACGAAATCTCAGCACGGATTTGAAAAGCTCGTTTGGCTTTTGCCAACTTACGTCGCCTATAGCGAAGGCGAAACATCCGTCTATCAATAAAAGGACGAGTATACTGCGCGGCAGTCCGTTCTGTTTTAATTTACGACAGCGAAACATGGCCATTAAGAGTAGAAGACACTCGTAAACTACTAGTATTCGACCACAGAGGCCTTAGAAATATTGATGGCGTCTGCTGGGATCACCGGGTAAGTAATAGTGAGGTTAGACGCAGGGTATTAGGGAATGATGGTAAATCAGTTGGTGAGGTTGTTAATATTCATCGACTGAGATGGTTTGGCCACGCGTCACGTATGCCTGAACACCGATTACCACGACGTGCAATGCTAACCGGTGTTGGGGATGGTTGGAAGAAAGTTTGGGGCGGCTAAACCAAAACATGGCATCAGTGCTTGAAGTCACTCACTTCTAGTCTTATCCATGTCTGTAGATGAAGACTACTTGGTTTGGGTCCGCGTGACTATCGTAAGGAGTGGTTGGAGACTATGTGTTACATGGCCCAGAATCGATCACAATGGCGTCGGTATATACACTCGTTGTCTTCCCTTAAACTATGAGGTTAAAATTACTTCATATCTTTCTTTCTGTACTATTTCCTTACACGAAATCTTTCATTTATTACACCATTGAGTCAACTGCTTCTGTGAATCCGGTGTTCGTTTTGCTATGCTAATGATGAGTGTCAACTTGGACCGATGCATGTATGTGCCTGATCCTACGTTGTAACTGATTGAATTACTGACTCTATACTTGATCACATAGAAGTAGATTCTAAGAAGACTATTGAGGATGTATCAAAGACATGACACCAATCCATCGTGTTGTTGGATGCTGGTCTGAGTTGTGTGGGGAGAAGCAGATTTCCTTCTTGGGATCCTCAAAATAATTATCATATATGGTAAACCAGCTGAAAGTCTATTGTAGTAGGGTGACTCAATCCATATTTTGTATTTATCTAGATTATAAGTATCATTACTGTTATTATTTCGACTCCTTAAATTTTCGCCTTGTCGATTTTATCTTTTTTGTGTATCACCTTAGTATTTACACTCTTCTGTATAATCTGCAGTTTATTTCTAACTAGTTTTAACAAACATCTCATAACAATACATATTTATGCAATATCGGGACAATCCGGTTATTGGTGTAATTATTTGAAAAATTCCGCATTTTGAGAAGTTTGTACAAAGGCCAAGAGACATTATTAACGTCAATGGTCAATAGTTTATTAGTCGCATGCAATCAGTCTAAAAATTTACTCTTGATTATTGTGTTAGAATGTATGAGTGACACAAATTAATATCAATAACTCAATTGGCTGATTGCAACATAGATTACAAAATACAATGTGAGGATGTAGAATAAATAGGTTCTTTATATGTGTACTTGAGTAGATCGACTTTTATGCGTGAAGTTCAATATTATCATGTTTATATTATATCATCTTGTTTTGCTGAACAATTTACATTAATTCATTGATGCTAACTGTTACTTAGTGTGAAATCGGCTTTAAATCCTTTATTATTGTTGAAAGAAATTGTTCATGTATGATTTATACCTGAATTGTTTTAAACAAAAAATTATCAATCAAGTACTGATTATGTGTATGTGCCTTTAGTCTTGTTCTATTTCCTGGACTGAATGGTTTAGTTGTGAAGCTTTGGTTGTTTTTCTGAATACGTTATCGTCAAGGTGTGCTTCAAGCAGAAATAAACCGTTCGGTTAAAAAAAATTCAACACTATCGAAAGCATTCAATAGAGCTACGAATCTTCGTCATCATTTCAAAGTTTGTGTGCATACGATTCAATTCTAATAAATCAGCTCTCGGGAAAGTTTCTGAAAGACAAATTCATTTCATTAACAGACATTTTATGCACCAAAAGTTGATTCATATTTTCTCTTATCTTCTATGCTTAATCTTTCCTACTATCACTATTAGTGCTACTGTAGTGGACGCTACTCACTAGATTGTTTGTAAGTAGTGTGTATCAGGATGTGACGTGTAAGTTATCTCTATCAGACGGAGTGAGGAGTTTTAGTGCACAGAAAGTAGTGTTGGCAGAACACTTGTAGACCAGACGAGAAGATAGTTCAGATGGCAGAACACACCAAAAGATGCAGAGGGAAGATTGAAGGCTATGCATAATGTATTTTATGAATACTTTACAACTCACAAAAATAAGTTCCTTCTGAAATTATCGTGTTTTACACTACTACCTCTAATACTCTGAGTTTCACCCTAACAATTTCATCCCAATACATCAGTGGGATGTGACTACTTGAGCCGATACACACGTATCCCAGGTTCTACTTTGCGTATGACTAATTGACAGCAAACGTTTCCGATATACTGCTGTTCTCTCTTACGTAAACTTTATTCAAGTGTTGTCTTAAAATATATATTGTATCAAATTTTATTATTTTTACTGTTAATCCTGTGAAGTCAAGTTGAAACAGATCATTTAAACAATTATGGATCATAAAAAGTTTTAACATCACTTGCTGACATTCATCAATAATTTGATAATCATTTGTACTTAGCCACATGTTTACATTTACAATAAAATTGTCTATAATCTATACGTTCATTATCATACTAAATGTCTTACAGTTTTCAAATACATCACATTTTATTTAATGCTAATATTTATATGGATTATTTAAGAGAATCAAATGTTAGTATTAAATTATAAATCGTAAAACTTGATTGTTAATGTTTTTTACTACCTGGAAAACGATTTATGAAAAAATTTAGAACATTCACAATATACATCACGCATAAATGTAATAATATAATACGATTAATTCATTTTAATCAAGTAAGTTTGTGTTCATTTTGATGATTGATGGAATGAGTTATTAAGTTTATGAATGGGTTTTTTTCAAGAGCAATAAAATTACTGTCATATGAACTATCTCTGAGTTGTTATGTAGAGATGTATTTTGTATTTGTATATATCTGCTTTCCTGTACATTATGTATACTTTTATTGATTCTTGTATAGGAACTGTCAATTTGAATATTATTGATATTTCAATCATCATTTTACTTTTTATCACGTTCTTGTTTGATGAGTTCTTATTATTTTCTGTTAGATAATTGTAAGAAAACCGGTGTAGTCTTTGATCATCTGATCTCATCTATTGATGTGGTGAATTGTCAGAGTGTTAAAATTCAGGTTAGTTTTTTAGTCTTGTGTTCAAATATGTATGTATGTGTTAAATTCTACAACTTGTATCAAAATTCTGTAAATGTGTGTTTAGTCACTGGATAGTAATAATTTACAGTTAATATCTTCTATTGATCAGATAGTTTTAATTGCGAACAGAAACCAACTGAAAGCCGAAAAAATCATTGGAAAGCCAATTGCTCATATGAAATTGTTCTGTTGATAATTAAGTTTATACCTGTTTAATAATAATATGGTAGTTTTTATTGCGTGCATTATACACAGATGTATACATGTATATATTTATATTTATGTTCCTCATTCTTGTTAATTTCCACATAAATTTATTTCTGTTTAGTGTCTTGGACAATTATCAACTGTGAATATTGACAAGACAGATGGATGTCAAGTGTTCTTAAGTGAAGACTCAAAGTATGCTGATGTGATCACAGCAAAATCTTCAGAGATCAATATCCTCATACCTAAAGGAACTGATGATTTTGTAAGTTTTTTTTTTGTTTTTCCAAAGAAATGTTTACTATTTTTCTCGATAATATCAGACGATATTCAGTCATTGATAAGGCGAATATACGTGCATAAAATGCCATCTGTAAACAAAGAATCACTAATTAAACTATCAAAGACGATTTAGATGTTATAAAATAGTAATAGTGATAATATGATAAACTTTTTCTGCGATTTAAGTACCACCTAGCTATCGGGGTATTTACCTATCATAGAACGTAAACCCATTCTGTTTCTTTGTTCATTATATAACATTAACAGCTCCTCAATTTCTACCTTTTTGAAAAATCACTCCATTTAATTTGCATTCAGTGTTTATCTTAATATTCAACCATATCATAAAAACGATTAATTACTTTAATAGTTTCACTTATTAATTTACTACTTTTCCAATGTACATAATCAAGTCTAGATTGTTGTTCCTATAATATACTATCAATGGTATTACTTACTTACTTACGCCTGTTACTCCTCATGAAAAAGCATAGGTCCCAAGCCCGGGTAAAAGAGGAGGTTTGGGCATTGGGTTAGCGACCCCAACCCATAGAAAACTAACTTGCTATAAAAACGCTAAATATCAATAGTATACTTTTCAAATATTATATATAATACCTATTTGCCTCTTTTCTAATCATATACAATTCTTCTCAATGATAAATATGAATATAAAAGCAATACTAGTGAATGTAGCAAAATCATCTAATGATGAATTCATTTATTTCTATATATTCTCTTTATATGCTTATAATTCAATGAATTTATTCATGAATTATTTAAAACTAATCTACGTACTTATGAAGTTATGATCTAATGAAGATTATTATTTTTTCTTGAAAAAAACAAAACAAACTAATATTAAATGTTGAAGAGTTAAACAACATCATAATAGGTATTTAAATTGTTTATTCTTTCTATGTTAAATAATTTAAGGAATGTTACGTTTTAATAATCTTTATTAATATGATGTAAAATATGTATATTAGTTTTAATTAATTGTCATTATTGTTTCTATGCTGTAGGCAGATGAACAGAATTCATAAAATAATTAAATTCCTATTATTCTAACTATATATGCTAATTAATATGAGTTTACAATATTTACCATTCCAAATAACACTTTTATTATTGAACTAATCTTTACCGGCTTCTTTTTTTTAATATCATGATAATTGATATTATTATAAAACTTCCTATTGTGTATGATTACTATATGGTTCATTTCATGTTATTTCACTGTATATGTCCATAATCACAATTATTATCTAGTTATTAATGCTTCTAGTTTGCTGTTGATTTGAAGCTGATTAGATTTAAAGTGATATTTGCTTTACATGTATCAATTCAATTTGACCGTCAAAGTAGCCCGTTAATAAATAATTTATCAACAAAGCAACAGTCTACAGTTCTCTGTGTCATTATTATCATCAGCTATGCTACTCACTAATATATTGCGTTATATTCATCTAAGTGATGATACATTTATTATTGGTTAAGTAGTTTACATCACAGAAACTTTTGACAGTCGGTGGGATTGGCGTGTTTCGGAAACTAATAATATTGTCTGTGTAATCTTTTAGTATTAGATTAATCGGCTAATCAGATTTTTATAGTTCTGTTGTAGCAAATAAAAGTTCTTTGTTTGTAACATTACATGAAAAATCTATTTATATCTAGTAAAAATGTACTCCATAACAATCTTAGCCTATAGATTATTATTTAACGATATAAATGATAACTGTTGATAAATGTTTTTTTTCTTCAAGAATCTTAACCCCATTTTTTATGTGTGAAATTTCAGGAAGAGTTCGCAGTCCCAGAACAATTTAAAACAAATTTTACTGGAAAAGGGTTGAAAACGGTGTGTAGTGATTCTAGATAAGAAATGTTACTTCAATGTTCGTCATACACATATGTCAACAATATTGAAAATTTTCATTTTAAACAGCCACTTTATCTTGCTTCATGTACTAGTACAACATTTTTGTTCAAGCGCAATACAACACAGTGCTTTTCTTGATAGTTTAATTTGTTTGACTGTGTCAATCTTTGACTTTCAATATCAGGCACCTGTTGTTTTATCTCTTTTAATAGTATTTGCTTTTCTATCGCTTGTTTAAAAATAAACATGTGATGATTTTTACATCGGTCTGTGTAATCCGTCATCATTATTGTGTGGTTAGTCTGTTTATTGTGCAATGCTAAGATGCAATTTTATAAGTAAAATATTAAATAACGTTAGGAATAATAATGACTTTGGTTATGGTAAACTACGAAAAATGATTTGAAAAAGTAAGAAAACACCATGTGATAGTGTTGTTTTTTTTACACAGAATAGGATATAAGCAATATACCTTTGTTTGAAACGTGGTCTTCATTCAGAAAAAATTAATTGAATACGAGAAATGAAACAAGTTATTTTGGCCACTTTAGGTACACTAGGTGGTGAATAAAAAGTTTCATAACCATGTATTTAGGATTTGTATAACAACTTATGGTTTGCTTTAAACGTTGTTTTGGAATGCTTTTTTGTAGCATCTTGTTATCATTACGACACCCACAACGATTGTTTCCCCCCACTTTGTAAAAGAATAGTGGGCATTGACGCGCACAGTATTGCTCTTTAAATGATTGTCTATTGTCTTGGGTGTGCTGATTGCGGAGGGTGGTAGCTACAAGTGGTCGGGTTTCGTTGTTTTAAGATTGACAAAAAATTCATGGCTAGGAGTACTATCCAACGATCACTGTGTTCAAATCATGCATATTTGTACTCTGGCTTTAAGTATTAACTGTAAAAGAGAAAACTATATGCTTCAACAGCAACGTCTGATATATTCACACACAATCAGTTCTAAAAGGAACCCTGGTGAACAATGTTAATCCATTCACATCAACTATAGAAAGCTTAAAACATCTCCCCAAAAACAACCTTGCACCAAGTTCCCCATTTGTAAACGGTAAAATTATCAATGTTTACTCACTTTAAAATACCAAACTACTGATACAGATATAATTTGCTACTACCTAATAAATATCACAATTCTGGTGTCGGTAAGCGGCATACTAGAAATCTCATCGAATAAACTAATTTGTTGTGTGATTGGTACATTTCTCTATATTTTGGGACACAAGCTAGTGTGTAGGTATTGCGAAGTTTGTTGTTTATTTAGTCTGTAATTCAAGGTGGCGACTTCTGGTCGGGAGGTACACAATTTGAATAGAAGAAAATTAGGAGACACCATATCTAGAGTAAATTGTTTTGTCTGAACTGGATGGTTTAGTCGTGTCTATCAAGAAAATTCACCAGCACAAGCTTCACAAAAATAGGTGACTTTTAGGAAATCCTCGTTGACTATCAGTACTTTATCCTATTAACATCGGATTAGATTAATTGTCTCCAGCAGCTGTGCTGTCATTGTCTTCACATTTATTTCGACCCTCCTCACTTTTTGCTGGATTATACACACTATGGCTTTTCTTAGCCTGCCTTATTAGTTGAAAAAAGGTTTTGATTTTAGCACATTTACTCGTTTCTGAGTACTAAGCTTTTAAGACATTTCTGGTTTTTGTGTTGTCTTCGTTAGTAATTTTAATATTTCCTAGTCGAAATTCTGTTTCAAACTGGCCACATTTATTGGCATAGACAGGGCCATGTTGTCATGCTCAAAATCAAGCTTGAAAACAGCACTGAATCCAGTTTGATACGTCTCACAATATGGAAAGAGCTCCCTTAATAATATCAGCTTGTCCTCGACACATGACAACTTGCTCGTTCGAGACCAGTCTCTTGGTAACTATGACTGGTAAATAACATGCCTTAAGACAAACCGAGCAATGGGAAGTTGTCAGAAACCATTACTGTTTTAGAAAGCTGTTCCGAATAGTCCTCTTGCGTCTGGTTGCTATACAGGTCAGCTTGAACCGGAATCCAGCAACGAGGTAGATGTATGCGTACCAAGGGAACACCTCAGTTATCATGTAGCCAGTTAGTTTCCGGACTGTGACGATTGGAAAGCAGTTGACAGAGCCACATTTGTGGTCCAACATTCTGTACAACCTACTTATTACTCAATCCTGCTACTCCTCTTATAGCATAGGTTGCTGACCAGGAATCTCTAATTGACTCTGTCTTGGACGTGTCTTTGTGCAGTTTGCAATTGATCATTTTCACCTATCCCAAGCAGAGAAGGGTTCCCATTGACTCACATTGTCTGAACTTTCTGTGAACCTACATAAACTATTACCTTGGTTGTCAGACAGGGCGTCGGCTTCGTGGTTTACAAAAAATATTGATTTTCGTCACTGTCCATTGGAACTCTTCAATATCAATACCCTGCTTATATCATGGCAGAGTTAAAACAGTTCAAATGGGTTCTGCTGGTTGGTTTTTTAGTTTGACTCGTTCTTAAGTGATGTAATCTCTAACCTCATACGAAAGCTTCCCATTTTTCCGGACATGTTTCCGGGAAAAAGCTTAAGTTGGTTGCACGCTAAGTCAGAAACAGAACATGTTTATTTGGAAAGCTATTAGTTGGGCTACAGATACGGCCCAATAATCTCAATGAGCTAATATGAGTCTAAGGAATATGTGTGCAAATAAAGTAATCTAGGATTTTAAGATCTCAAAGCTCTCTTAAATGCTGGTTGTTTTAAAAACACTGTGAACATCTACCAACAATTAATCAAGACAAGGCTTCGTACATGGTTTAGGGTGTGGCTAACCTTCAGCTACTTATGACAATAACATTATTTCAGCATTCATAAAGTCTATGAGATAGAACAATGGTCCATAGAGAAAGTTGACTGTTGCTTTTAGCACTAGACGTAACTTGTTGGAAGGATATGTCCACAATCTCCAAATCTGCGTCGATCTTAGTCTTCTTCATTGAATAAAACAAGATTCGATGTTGAAAGTAAAGTGACGTTGTAAAAACGGAACGAAACAACCTAAACTGCAAGGAGTTTTGTCCTGTCACTTTAGGGCCACGATTCACGTAGAATTTCCTTGGAATCACTTACATGTATAGTCACAATTGTATTCTTTATTTGAATTCTGGGATGTGGATTCACATGTACTCTTAGTAAGCTTCGAGGTCATGTGCAGCTAGCTCACAAAATGACCACTTTCTTTCGTCAAGTGTCTCCGAGACCGCCTAACATGCAGATGACGGTAATACAAGTCACATTGACTTGTCCTTGTTTTTGGTCGAACTAAAAGTGATTCAGGGGTCTTAGTAAGTCATAACTTGTGGAGGAGGGTCCTAGGACAATAACAGTATTAAAACGAGGTTACTGAAGAGGTTCAATTTTTCTTCTCAGTTATAATAATTTTTGAAAGTAAACAAATGCACAAAATCAACAAGTTATTGTTTGAAAAACAGAAATATTCTATTGTTATTATTACACACCTTAGAAGTAATAGAGGGGATAACTGTAGGCGTGATTCTGAAGGTTTTCGACTTTCGCTAGGATAAGACGCTTGAGATGTTGAATTTTTCGGTAACATGAACGTAAGTTAAGTGTTAAATAGTCATGAAGTCAACGACACTTGGGAGATTTTGTACTCAATATGTCACATCGACTCCCGCGACTTGGTCGAATTACCCTAGAACATACAGAAGTTGAGTGTAAAGAACAAGAACGATTTACCTATGAAACAAAAAACGGCCTTCACGGAAACATCAGACAGATATTCAAAACCCCAAAGATTCCATAGATATACAAAGTTTGACAATATATTTTTCTGTAACACCTATATAATCGAAGGATCGTTACATACTTAAAACGAAAGTCAGGGATGAGCTCGAAGATATATTTGAAGGCCGTCGGCATGTCGGGAAGAGATTGATTTTATCTGACTTCCAGTTGCAAAACTAATGAGGTCAGAATCAATGTCAAAGGATTGCAAAGCGATTATGATTTAGGACTCACCTATCGTCACAAGATCCTCAACACACATCCGAAGAGTCCAAACAGACAATGACTGAGACAGCTCACGTTGGTCGTTGAACACTTGGAGGAAGCAGCAAAATGTAAAGGCGAGAACACTTAGTTGAAGTGGCAAGGCTCGATGATGCGGGTGTCGTAACTCAGGATTTTCTACCAGGTTTATATCAAATACATAATTTTTTTCCCAGTCCGAATTTTTTGAAAGGTCGCAAAAAACAACCACCAACTGTCACGTTGGACGAGTCAGTATAAAAAATTATGCAATTTAGACACAAGATGTCATAAATTGTGTGGTCATATCATTGCATTCCACAGTATTGGATCAGATCTAATATTACAGCTTCATAGATGACTACATTAATATCGAGTCAGACTTAAATCGCGCAATATATCGCCTAATGTTTCTACTTGCAACGGCCTTTCCATTTTTCGACTGTGATAATTATAGATACTTCACTATGTTACCTTTTAAGATGATGTACGATTATGACACGAGGGGACTCAAAATGAAGCCGCGCACTTCTTCAGCAACTAAAGGAGAGAACACATAAAATAAATTTCGGTGTCGAATTCTGAGATTGTAGACAAAATGAATAATTCTGATCTCATGAGAACCAAAGTATGTAATTTTGCAAATCAAGAGACAAAGTATCCTAAATTTACATATACATGAAGATAGTAAGATGTCATCGCGCATAAAAAAGTGAGAGAATTTAGGATAAATCATAGAAGGAGGGTCGTACATCAAGCTGGTAGTTGAAATGCAGTCTAATGCGAAGTTTCTTTATAGGTCTGTTACTCAATTAAAGCTCAGAATTGAGGTGTCTGCTCTCAAAGGGCTTGATGGTTGAAACCTTACCGATGTGGAAATGACAGCAAACTTTTACATCTACTTCTCCACTCATTCGCACTAGGAGGTTATAAGCACGAGAT